AAAAAAAATCCTCCACTTAATGGCAAGAATAGGCCTCCGACAATTGGTGTATTGTTTAGTGATACCTTCTTGCCCGATGGCTCTCAGGATTTCATCAAACCTGTCAATTTTCATCCTGAAATATATGTAGAACCGTTTTTCGTCCTTCAGGAGTTGAGGTATCAATGTATAAAACTCCCTTAGTTCCTCTCTTGACAAGTTTATATCATGAACCCAAGTGATTCGTCTCTTTCGCCTAAATACGAACACACATAGCAACCACTTATACATACTTAATTAGAGACTCGTTATGGAATTGTAAATATTTGTACATATATATGGCATACTGAATATGTGGAGGAAAAGAACTACGCAGATTTAGTGTTCAGTAAAATACTTGCCGGGATTCACCTTCGTCTTCATCAAGAGCGACAGCTAAAAGCAAAACTTCCTCCAAAGACGGATCCATGAGTATTTACCGCTGCGATACCGAGCGGTCTACCGAGTGCGCTCGGTAGACCGAAATACCGAGGCGATATACCGACTGCGATAATATCGCGTTCCTCGGAGTACCGCGCCAGTGTGCGGACCTCCATTTACCGCAATGTAATTAGATATCGTCCCGTACCGTACCGAGCTGAGTATCGCGTCTGTGTGTGGGAGCCTTAAAGCTCTGCCTGCTGTTTGTTTCGCACTGGTTTGTGGATTAGATTCTTACTCTTAGGCTCTGTATATAGAGGCGACATTTTTCTCCGAAACATCAGTTGACTTTCAACAGACTAAACGGCATTATGTTCCAAGAGACAGGATTATTTGATATCACCTCATTGAGATCCCCAGACCTCAGACGGCTCACACCGTAACTAAATTCAAATCTGTTTATCTGTATAGTTGGTCATCATGTTTATCGCGATTAACTTCCCCCTTGCGCCATAAATAAATTTGAGTTGCAATTGTTTTGCGAGTCCGAGGATGATCAGAGGCGATCAGAGGTGCGAAGTGAATGAGAATTGATTTGGGAATGATTGAATCAGACTGATTTGGTACGTAGGTTTTGTAAAACTGTATGGCAGAGTAATAGTACAGCACATAAAATCCAGTTTATAGTAGTTACGTCTTCATTGTCATTGTTTAAAATATAGGTGTGCTTACCTATTGAGCCGATGTGAGTTCTGTAGGGGGATATTTAGTCTGTATTGTGATGTAATTACTCCAGTTTGAAAATATACAGCGGTGATCGATAATATATACGAAATGGGCTTGATCTAGTAGTAAAAATAATGTACTGAAAGCCGTATTTGTTAGTGCAACCGATTTCGTGTTATGTCATACTGGCATACCAACCGTGCCCAGTTAACATGCCCTCTGAATGTATGAGAAACTAAGTCATGGAATGTTTAATTTTCGTGTTCTGTTGGGTTGTTTCCCGTTGCATACATTTAAGAAGTTATTACAAGGTTATGTCAGAACAAATTATAATATAAAATGTAATGTAAATTGTTCCAAGTCATGTATTTTTGTATGCTTTGTAGCGTACTTTGCCCACTTTGAAAATATATAAGAAGTTATGGGAAGAAGTAATTGCCTACTTTCCTTTGCTGTGACACGGACTACATAAAAAACGGAAAAAATAGGGAGGGATACACACAGCAAGTGATCTCATAAGCCTTTAATTTTTGCAGAATAAAGGACATAGGCTAAAAGGCTTATGAGTTCACCTTGCTGTGTGTGTTCGTTGTGTCTGTGTAATATAATAACATAACTAAGCCACTGTAGAATGTATTAAATTGATCAAAATGGTGCATATTACATATGAGTGAAGTGTGGTAAAGTGATATACTATAAGCTTATTAAGTTCTCAGTATATGGTACTTCCTTAGCTTGGTTTTCATGTATCACATGGTATTATAAAAAACACTAAAGAAAAGAGTCCAGAAACCCAGTAATTCTGAGTGTTACATACCATCATCCTAGTAAGGAGGTTGGTGTAGGAATAAATAAATAAATAAATAAGTTGTATATGTTGTTGTTTCATCAGAATGCAAGGCAAAGTCATGACGTAAAGAGGGATAATAGATGCTTTGAAAATGTGACATGTTTAAAAAACGTGGGAATGACAGTAAAAATCAAAATTTGATTCATGATGAAGTTGAGAGTAGGTAGAATTCAGGTAATGCTTGCTACCAGAGTCCAGAACCTTTTTGTCTTCTCATTTGCTGTCTAAAAATGTAAAAATTAGAATATACAAAACTATAATTTTGCTTGGAGTTCTGCATGGGTGTGAAAGTTGGTCTCTGACATTAAGGGAGGAACATAGACTGAGGGTGTTTGAGAACAGGGTGTTGAGGAGAATATTTTGACCAAAGAAGGATGAAGAGATAGGAGGCTGGAGAAAACTGCATAATGATGAGTTTCATAACTTGTACTCTTTTCCAGATTATGATTAGAATGATCAAGTCAAGGATGATGAGGTGGGCAGGATATGTAGCACAAATGAGGGTAAAGTGGAAGCTAATTAATTCTGTTTGGAATAAGGAAAATTGCCTGTTCAGTGGAAGGAGTCTATTATTATAGCAGTTCACAAGAAGGGTGATAAAGCTGACTGCAGTAACTATCGGGGGATATCACTGCTTTCAGCTTCATACAAAATTTTATCCAATATTCTTCTCTCAAGGTTAAGTCCATACATAGATGAAATTATTGGGGATCATCGGTGTGGGTTTTGATGTACTAGATCAACTACTGATCTTTAAAAAAGAGATCAGAATGTCTCAAGAACCCAAGTTCCAGATATGCAAAAAGGGATCTTCCCAAGATAATTTAGTGAAGATATTAATTGCAATTATGTCTGCAGTTATGCTGAAACATCTTTAATGATTTTTTAGATTTCAGTTCACTTTTATGTCCAGTATATTCTTTTCCATGATACCTGTGATACTTGACCTTATTTTTCCCTCACTCTCTTTCTTACTACTCTTCGTTGCTCCCCCATACATACCGATCAAAAGGTTCCTTATTTTCTTCACATGATGAGCTGTATGCTTATCGGGATGTGCTTCACAGTCTTCATCTTTATCATCAAAATATACCTAATTAGATAAACTTCTGTTAGTAAAATGTAATCATGAATGTGGGTTTTGCCACTTAAACAGTGGCCAACATAACTACAGAACACCTGCACTTTTTATATAATTAAAAGAGAAATTCACAGTGTACATATTTTTGCTTTCAGTTCCACTTTCACTACCAGTTTGTACAATTCTCACTCTGAGAAGACACACAGAGCATTCAGCATTCAGTAGTTATGCATAGATTAGATAATAATACGCAACTTTGCAACCTCATATAGCATGTACATGGCAGGCAAACGGAGTGCAAGAAAATTACCACTTGCGTCCTCTTGACTCCACACATAGTCACTTCAAGTAAGTTTTTCAATCTGAATGATCATATGCATAAATGAACTTGATATGCAAACACCACAGAAGGTTTTCATACAATGTGATAACTTTGTATTGTGATCTTCCGGGGTATGAGACCATGGGAAGGGGTTGCCATTGTTTTGGAGGAACATGCTGCCTCAGTCTTCATGGTTGATACAAGCCAAGTTTGGAAAATGTCTGGTTATCTTAGAAGTGGTGTGGAGGAAATGAGTCTTGAATGATAGGTGGCAGCACTGTTTCTCACCATGTACTAGATAGATTACAGACTGTCATAAATCCCAGAAGGCCACAGTAAGAATCTTCACTGCTGTGATAATAGATGAAACAACACTTATTCAAGGACAGCACTAGGATTTTTTAAGCCAGAAAATTTGCTTACTTATTTTAAGATACTTAAGATTGTTTTTACTGATTGTTTTAGAGTATTTAGGATAAGCAAATATTTGGTGAATGCTTCTTTTTTTATTATTTGCAGTAGACCATTGTCATAAGAGACCCAGATATAATGGACAAAAAATCTGGCTGTGTACAGTTGTGAATTTTTCAAGATACTGAGGCACTTACTTACTCATGGAACTGAGCTGTTCTTGAGGAGCCGCCACTTCTGCCACTACCCAAGAATTTCCCAGCATTTTGTGGAACCCGAAGGTTCATTACCGTGTTCACAAGAGCCATCCACAGGTCCCTATCTTGAGCCAGATCATTCCAATCCATACCATCCCATTCTATCTCTCTAAGATCTATTTTAATATTGTCCACCCACCTATGTCTTGGTCTTCCCAGTGGTCTTTTTCCTTCTCTTTCCCACCAATATCCTATATGCATTCCTCTTCTCCCCCTTTTATGCTGCATGTCCTACCCACCTTATCCTAGACTTGATCATTCTTATTATACTTGGAGAAGCGTACAAGTTATGAAGTTCCACATCACCCAGTTTTCTCCAACCTGCTGTCACTTCATCTCTCTTCAGTCCAAATATTCTCCTCAACATCCTGTTCTCAGACACCCTCAGTCTGTGTTCCTTCCTTAATGACAGAGACCAAGTTCACAGCCATACAGAACCACAGGCAAAATTACAGTTTTGTATATTCTAATTTTTATGTTTTTGGACAGCAGACGAGAAGACAAAAGGTTCTGGATTGAATGGCTGTTTTTACTTCTAGAAGAACCTCAATTTTGTGTGTTTTTCTTTATGGTATCAGTATTATCACCCAGTAGATTTGCATCATTGGCATAGACCAACATTTGAGGCACTAAAAAGGTTTTATAGTTAGAAAAAATATTTCAAATAAATGATCCCTAACATAAATTGTATGTTTATTGTGTGTATGGGCTGTGTACCCTATAATGTACTTCTGTGAATACCCCTTCACTCTCTTCAGCAGCAGACTTTGGTGATAAGAGACCCTGCCCCCCATGTTAGTCCATTATAACTATGATTTGCTGTATTTCGTATATTTCCTTTTTTTCTTCAGTTTTGATATCCATTCCAAAAAATGTGGGGGCCGGGGGTAGGTGCCTGGTCCCACCCACTGGCATTCATGCACATATTTTGTATAAACATGTTTCGGTGCTGTTTACATATATTGGCGCTGACATTATTATGTAGAACTGCATGTGCAACATATAAAGACTGTACAGATGCAAATAAATTTGTGTATGAATGTGCTACACCAGTGTGTGCAGTTCGTGGTTAAGGACAAACAAACACATTGTTTGTAATTTTTCTTTTCCAGAAATATTCCTTGTGATGTAGATTGCGGGGCTGCGTATAAGGTTGAATAATGCCTCGAAATGAGCAGGTTGTTCTGGGAATCTCTTAAACCAAGTTACTTTTGCACACATTTTAGTGTCTTAGTTCCATTCCGATTGAATATATTTTTGTGTGTGTGGTTGTGGCTTATTGTTTGGTTTACTGATCTTACAGTTTATTTTGGTTTCTGTTTGAGTCAGGCTAAAGCTATAATCCATATTTGACCCAAGAGACACTGGGGAGGGGGGGAGTTGAAGAATTGCCTGAGGAACTGTGAGTTACACATCTCTTCATGTATTAATTAATTTGTATTATGGGATCTTCGAAGAACAGTTGGAAATTATTCAGACATTTTACAGGTTGTGCTATCTTCATCACTGTCATTACAGAAATCCACCATCTTGAGTCATATAATGGGTCACTGTGATGATGGTGGAAGCAAATACATACAGAGTTTTTGGACGGAAAAACTTCACAGAAAGTGAAATGCAAACACAAGGG